TTTCTGTGGTACCAGGGATTGAACCTGCAGCCTGGCACAGGATAAGCATCTGTCCTCCACTGAGCCACACCCCAGTGAATACGACCACGTGCTAGAACAAGACTCTGCAGATGCCATGATGGACAGCAAGATGAGACCACCCTGGATGTCCCGGGTTCATCTACATGACCAGATGGCCTGGAGTGATGCGGCCACAGGCTAAGGGATGCTGGGGGTGGAGGTGGGGGTCCCAGAAGGACCATCGCACAGAGCCTTCAGATGGATGGAGTGTAACCTGAATACACTCACTTTGGACCTTTGGTCTCTCAGGCTGTAAGAGAGCAGACCTGTATTTTTATAAGCAACAAATTTGTGACCCTCTGTGGCAGCACCAGGAAATTGCCATAATGCTCTAAGATAGTTTGGTCTAAACAGTCAGATTTCCAACAATAAAATGCAGGGTATTTGTAATGCAGGTTCAAACCGTCAAGTTCTCGTTCCTAGCCGACTGCAACGTGGAAGGCGTGCTTTACATCACTTTCCTTGTCTCGAACCCTAGAGAAGGACCCCAGGGCAAGAGCCTTGTTCAGTGGGGCGGCCCACTCGCGGTCCAAGAAGCAGAGGCAGGACAGGAAGTGGAGCCTAGCTTTGATTCTCCGGGCCCCTCTCTAGAGAGCTACTTCCTCCAGGTGGGCCTTGACTACCGAGACTCTGCAACCTCCCCAAACAGTACCACCAGCCGAGGACCAAGTTCAAACACACGAGTGTACTGGGGACATTTCTCATCCAAGCCATAATACCAAGCAAACCCCATACACCGTGAAGGAACACTCGCCCTGACAGGCAAGTCTTTGGCATTTTTAGGGTCTTGAAATACATTCCAGGGTCCAGAGAGCTGGCTCAGCAGTTAAGAACAGTGGCCGCTCTAGCAGGGGATCTGGGTTCAGTTCCCAGAACCCACAGGGCAGCTCACAACGTCTGCAGCTCCAGTTCTAGGGGATCCAATGGCCTCTTCCAGCCTCTGTAGGCAGTGCATGCATGTGGGGCCCATACATACATACAGGCACACACTCATACACATAAATATGGTTGTAATTTCAACCATCCAATCACCAGTGACCTCTAATCCCAGTGGCTGGGCGGTAGTGGGTGAGGCAGTCTACGGCAGGGGCTGGTCATTAACGCCTGGGTCCCGTGGCTGGTCTCTGAATCTACAAAATTGGCTCAGAAAAAACAGTTCAGTTTGTGGGTGAGGGATGCTAGGTCAGCCCAGGTGCCTCTTGAGGGTGGGGGTTGGGCCAGCTTGGGAAGAGGTGAAGGGATGTTATTCCTCTGCTTCCTCAGTTTCCTCTACTGCCCACGGTTGCAAATAGTAAAACTTGGGCCTGTTCAGCAGGCTGTAAGCACGACAGAATGCCTGGGCTCTCAGAAACGTTTCCCCTTAAAAATGTCAGGTCTAGGGGCTGGAGAGATGACTCAGTAGTAAAGTGCAGTGGCTGCTCTTGCAGAGGACCCAGGTTCGATTCTCAGCACCCACCTGGCAGCTAACATCTATCTGTAACTCCAGTTCTGGGGATCCGGCACCCTCTTCTGACCTCTGTGGGCATTATAGGACACACGTGCACTTACACACATGCAGACAATACACTCGTACACGTAAAATAAAAATAATAAATAAGTATTTAGTGAGGGGGCAGTAGGGAGATTTGCCCTGCTGAGGACATTGGATCGTGTGGGCCCCGCCTGCCCCTTCTCATCCCCAAGCCACTAATAAAGTGGTTTTCCCGCCCCCCCCAAATAATAATAAATAAAACATATTTTTTTTAAAAAATGACGGGCCCAGGATGGGCATGGTGGTGCATACCTTTAGTCCCAGCACTTGGGAGACAGGCAGATGTCTGTGAGCTCAAGCCCAGCCTGGTCTACATAGTGAGTTCTACGCTACCTGGGGCTATAGGAAGGCCCTGTCTCAAAAAAAAAAAAAAATGACAGGCACAGATTTGGGGGAGACAGAGAAAGATGAATATGGAAACCCTGAGGGAGGGACAGGGGGGACAGGGATGGGTAAAGTTTTTTTTATTTAACTTTTAAAAAATTTATTTATGTATATGAGCATATTACCTGCATGTATATAAGTGCACCCATGACATGCAATACCTGCGGAAGTCAGATGAGGGCGACAGATTCCCCTGGAACTGGAGTTACAGCTGGTTGTTATCCAACATGTGAGTGCTGGGAGTCGAACCCAGGTCCTTTGCAAGAGCAGCCAGAGCTCTTAACTGCTGAGCTGTCTCTCCAGCCCCATCACTAACTCTTTTTGCTTTGTTTCTGAGATAGCATCTCACCAACCCCAGGCTGATCTTGAACTCTCTACGTACCTCACGATGACTTCAAATTCCTGATCTTCCAGCCTGCACCTCCGGAGTGCTGGGATTACAGGCACGTGCCACTGTGCCCTGTGTACGTGGTGCTGGGGATACAACCCAGGACTTCATGCATGCTAGGCAAGAGCTCTACCAACTGAGCTACAGCCTCAGTCCTGATGTGGAGGTTTTTGTGGGGCAAAACAGCCCCACAACAGCTGTGCAAACACAGCTCCTCTCTTCCCCCACTGGGAAGCTTGGAGTTACCCAGCCTCCCTGGCCTGCCCTGACCCAGCGATCCCTGGTACTACCTGGGTCCTATCCCTGGTACTACCTGGGTCCGTTCTCAGTTGCTGACACCCCTAAATGGGATTCGCATTTCTTCTGTGCTCAGTAACAGCCCCTTCTTCCTGCCTTTTGACAACACTACCTGCTCACCCTGAGATGGATGCCAGTGTGCTTAAGCTTTACCATATTTCCAGTTCTGGTCCAAGCCTGTACTTGCGCCTCTGTCTTTGGCAATTTGAATGCCTGTAAGAAAGTGAGGAAGGGCAATTTCAGCAGCTGCGACATGCACAAAGGCACGCAACACGTGCTGCTGAAGATGAGGTTGGAGAGAGGCTCTGTGGTGTCCCCAGCCCACTGCAGCCTGTTAACAGCAGACGCCGGCACACAACTGTGACACTGGCACAACCTGTGTACACCTGCAGGAAACGAGAAAGAAAAGGGCATTTGGGCGACCTTAACACAAAGGAGGGGCAGGTCACACCTTGGTATGTTCGATAAGTAGATACCAAGACCAGGTGGAGGAAAAGTGCTGTAGACAGGTAAGGTGTACAATCAACCTCAGGGCTGTGCCAGCACGCAGCACCCACAGCAGGTTTAGACAGCGGCTGCCAACATGTAAGCAAAGCAAGCCAGGTAGCCTCTCTTCACCCCAGCAAGAAGATGCTGGCGGTGAAACCGAGTTGATTACTACATTTAAAAAATGCTGGGTCTGGAGAGATGGGATTAAAGGCGTGCGAAGCTCAGCACAGAACAGCCCAAGGTGACACACCTATAGGTCCACCCAGGGCAGCCTCAGTTTGTGTTTAAATATGAACAGTTGCCATCAAAGGTGAGTGGATTATGAATGTCAACCCCACAGCAACACTCAGCAGCCAAGCTCTCCACTGAGTTGTCAGCTCATCCTTTATCCTCCTCTGTTAAGTACATGGCTTCTTCCAATGCCCACCCACGGGGGAGGTCCTCAAGGGACCCCAGACCCCAGGATCTCTGTTCTCTGTAGACACCCACACGTCCCACTGAAACAAGAAAGGGCAGCTCTCCCCCAACCTCATCCCTGAGACCCTAGGGATGGATCAGAACAGTACATGCCCAACCAGGGAATCCTGCCCATCTCCACCTCCAAGCCAGGCTTTTCTCCATGCCTGCCTTGCCACACCACGTGACCCAGAAACCATAAAGTCTTCTTTACACCTGGAGGACCTGAATGCTTCCCAGGGCCAGGTCATTATTAATCCACCCTCCCTTTTTTTTGTCTTTTTGAAGCAGGGTCTCCTTGTAGCCCCAGCTGTCCTGGAACTCACTATGTAGACCAGGCTGGCCTTGAACTCACAGAGATCTGCCTGCCACTGCCGCCCAAGTGCTGGGACGCCAGGCATGCGCCACCATGCCCGGCATTATCCCTTTTACGCTATTCCCACGCCTACCGCTGTGAGTTTCTCTCCAGGGCAAAACTGTGTACCGGTCTTGACTAGCCATAGAGGGATCAATGTGGACTTTCGCTCCCTTCTGTCCCCCGCCACCCCTAGACTCACTCTTTAAAATCCTTTGGAAATTGCCTTCAAAGTCCAGAGCCCAATGGTTGAGTGCGCAGGTGGCCACGGTCACCTTCCTGCCCATCCCTGCTGCAGGCCCCTGGGCGCGAGGCTGGACGGAGTGCTGGTGCAGGTGTCCCCAAAGAAGTGAGGGGTGCAGGTGTCCCCCAAAGATCTGGGTGCAGACGTCCCCAATGGGCTGGATGCAGACGCCTCCAAAATGAGGAGTGCAGGTGCCCCCCACAGTGCTGGGCGCAGGTGCTCCCCAAAATGTGGGGTGCAGGCGACCCCAAGCGGGACCGCCCAGCCCTGTGCCTTCCCCAGGCGCCCTTCCGGGTCACTCAGTTCCGACTCCTCCCCTTCTGTTCGCGCACAGCTCCTCCCTCACCCTGCCCACTCGATGAGCGACAGGCCGACCTGTCCAGCCCCCGGCTCTGCGCCGCTGCGCCTGCACTTCAAGGAGGCTGGCGGCTCCTCCCAGGCAGGGTCTCCGGGCGCGACAGGCGGTGCCTGCTCTGCACGTCACCTCTCCCAGGCCATGGCTCCGATATGGTGAGCCTCCCACGTGCACCTGCCGGTCCACGGGGGACCGCGACCAAGGTCGCAAGGCCTGAACAGCCCCCCTCCCCTGGCCCACAGCACTCTGGAGGCCGTGTGCACCGCCTTGAATCCTTCCTCATCCCTGGAGCCTGGGGTAACCCCGGCAAGGCAGGGCGCGGTTCTGCATCTTGCAAACTGCTCCAACTACACTTCAAATTTAAATATATATATACTTATTACTTCTATTTATGTGAATGAATGTATGCCAGCATGTGTGTAACTGCATCCGTGTCGTGTCGTGCAGTGTTCCCGGAGGTCAGAAGAGGGCGTCGGATCCCCTGGAACTGCAGTTACGGATGGTTGTCAGCCATGTGGGTGCTGGGAACTGAACCAGGGTCCTCTGCAAGAGCAGTCAGTGCTCTTAACCGCTGAACCGTCTCTCCAGCCCACACTTTAAAAATTGTTACTACCTTTATTTTTGTGAGTTTGGGGGTTTGTGTGCCTGGGTGTACAGGTGGAAGTCAGAGCTGTCAAAGGACAGCTCCCAGGAGTCGGTTCTCTTCTTCCATCTTGTGGGTCTTGAGGCATGAACTCAAGTCATCAGATTTGGCAGCAAGTGGCTACCTGCTGGAGCGGTTGTTCATTCCCCACTTTTGACACCGAGTCTTCCGTCCACCCGGAGGACCAATGTCTGCTCTTCCATGTGGAGGGGTCCCTGCCTTGCCATTTATGTGGGATCACCTTACCCTGGTCTCAAGATGAGCATTTGTTTGCACGCTTCACTGTTTTTTCCATTTATAAAGTCATGTTGCTCAGGACAGAAAAGTCACAAACTCCAAAAAGCAAGCAGACTATCTCTGTTTCATGTATTCAATCCCAGCACCTTTCCCTTGGGGCGGCTTCATCCCAGTGTCCAAATGGTCTGCTCTTTGCTTAAACCCAGGGCTCCAGGTCCCTACCCTCCTCTCTCAGACCCAGGGGTCCAGACCCCAGCCTCCTCCCTCAGGCCCAGGGTTCTAGATCCCAGCCCTCCTCTCTCAAGCCCAGTCCAGGTTCCTGCCCTCCCCCCTCAGACCCAAGAGCCCAGACCCTAGCCTCCTCCCTTGGACCCAGGGCTCTAGGTCCCTGCCCTCTTCCCTCAGACCCAGGGCTCCAGGCTCCAGCCCTCCTCCCTCAGACCAAGGTGTCTAAACCTCAGTCTTTTCCTTTAGACCCAGGTGTTCAAGCCCCAATACTCCTCCCTCAGGCCCAGGGTTCTAGACCCCATTCCTCTTCCTTCAGAACTAGGTATCCAGGCCCTGTCCCTCCTCCCTCAGATAAGAACCAATCCAGACCTGAGTCAGAGCAGATCTTTCTGGCTATCTCAGGAGAGAAGGAAGTTCTTAGAATGCAATCTTGATGGATGGCCCACAGCCTCTGCTGGACACTTGTTAAAGGAACGGCCTGTCACTGCACACATCAGTCTTTGGCAGCTCACAAGCAACTCTCGGGGGCCTGGGAGCCATTCTCAAAGAAGAGGAAGACCTGTATCTCCATGGGAGGCCAGAACCCCACTGGTAGTTTCCAGTCAGCAGCCCCACTGCCTAGACTGTTAGTAGAACTCATCTTTCTTTTCTCTTCTTCTCTGACTCTAACCCCCATGGTCCCTCTGTGACTTGCTTGGAGCTGACTTTAAGTGTGATGAATTCTGGAAGTCACATACCTGTTAGCTCTGCTGTAGACAACGCATGTGGGGAATGATAGAGGTTGCTAGGTTACTGTGCTGGATAGCTTTAGTGTCAACTTGACATACCTGGGTTGAGGGAGCCTCAATGGGGAATTGCCTCCGTTGGACAGGCCTGTGGCCATGTCTGCGGGGCATCTTCTTGATTGTCGAGTTATGTGGGTGGGTCAGCCCACTGTGGGTGGTGCCACCCCTGGGCAGGTGGGCCTGTGCTGCATAAGCAGGTTGCACAGGGGCCAGGGGAGCAAGCCAGTAAGCAGCTTTCCTACAAGGCCTGTGCTCCAGCTCCTGCCTCCAGGTTCCTGCCCTGAGTTCCTACCTTGGGCTCCCTGATGAACTGCGACCTGGGAGATGTAAGCTGAATAAACCCTTTCTTCCCCAAGTTGGTATTGGTCAGAGTGTTTTGTCACAGCAATGGAGAAATAAACTAGGAAGGTTACTTTCAGAGACTTGAAGGCCAGTTATCAAAAACATTAGCTCTTGGGCTTGGGAGATGGCTCTGTTGGTAAATGTTTGCTTTGCAAGCAAGAAGGTGTGAATTCCATTCCCAGAGCCCAAGTCAAAAAAGATGGACCTAGCTGGGCAAGGTGGAGCACACCTTTAGTCCCAGCACTTGGGAGGCAGAGGCAGATGGATCTCTGTGAGATCTAGGCCAACATGGTCTACATAGTGAGTTCCAGGCCACTGGGCAAAAGGGAGACCCTGTCTAAAAAAACAAAAACAAAGGGCATAATGGCACCTGTATTATGGGAGGCAAAGACAGCTAGATCCTGGGGTGAGCTGGCATTCAGCCCAGCCTGCTTGGCTCAAATTCCAGGCCAGTGAGAAACTCACAAAGAAACAACAAAGCAAAACAAACAAAAACAGATTGCCAGGCATGGTGTCACAAGCCTTTAATCCTAGTCCTTGGGAGGCTCCAGGAGCAGGCAGAGCTCTGTGAGATCTAGGCCAGCTGAGGCTACAGGGAGACCCTGCCTCAAAAACAAACAAACAAACAAACAAACAAACAAAAACAGGTGGACAGTGCCTGAGGAATGACACCTGAGGTTGTCTTCTAGCCCCCACAGCATGTGCGCCCACACACACACAGACACACAAACACAAAGACACATAGACACAGACACACACACATGCACACATACACAAATAAAGACACACAGGTGCACACACACAGACACAGTCACAAAGACACATACACATAGACATACATGCACACAGAAACACACACAGACACATACATATAGACACATTTGTGCACACAGACAAAAAGACACAGAGACATACATGCACACACAGAGACATAGACACATGCATATGCACACATACACAAATACAGACAGACACAGACATATACAGGTGCACACACACACAGTCACAAAGACACATACACATAGACACACATACACACAGAGACACACACAGATGCACACACAAACACATACACAGACACATATGTGCACACATACAGATACAAAGACACATAGACACACACATATGCACACATAACACAAATACAGACAGACACAGACACACACAGGTACACACACAGACACAGAGACAGTCACAAAGACACATATACAGACACACATGCACACAGAGACACACAGGTGCACACGCAGACACACATATAGACACGTTTGTGCACAGACAAAAAGACACATATAGACACACATATGCACACACATGTGCACAGACACAGACACATACACACAGTCACAAAGACACATACACATAGACACACATATTTGCACACACACACATACACATACACACTGACGAGAGGTCCAGTAGGCCCAAACCTCCCCCTCAGCTAACACAGCTGTTTCATGAGCATGTGTCCCATCAGAGCCATGTGCTTTACTATGCACACATGGGCACCAGTGAGTTCACTTGCAGGTACCTTTTCCCACACCTTATACTACCCTACTTCCTTCCCATAAATATCCCCAAACCCTGCCCTCTGGGAAGTGGATTCAAGATTTGAGTTTCCCATCTCCGCACATGGCCATCTTGCAAAACTCCTTGCAAAACTTGTTTCAGCGAGTGGCACACTGCATGGCACACAGCATGGGCCTAGTCCAGGAAGGAGGCATGTCACTCAAAATTAGGAGCCCCTTGGTCAGTGACTCCAGTGAGAGTCCCTGTCTCAGAATAACAGCAATATGGGAAGGCGTCTGATGTGAACTTACAGCTGCCACAGACCCATGCGCAGGCAAGTACATATATGTCCATGTGCATACACACAGTGTGACATGTGACACAGACACACAGTCACAGACACACACATGGAACCATTTTGAAAGGGATCCATCAGCCAAATATGGGACCTCAAAGGAGAGATGACTCTGGGTAAAGGGCTCATTTCACAAGCCTGGCAAACAGACTTCAATCCCTGGAACTCACAGAAAGGCAGAAGGAGAGCGCCAACTCCGGGCTGGATTAGAGGAGAAGGCCACCTGAAGCCACTCCACCGGGGTGCGGGGGGAGGTCTGCAGGGTTCTGCCCTGGGCCTTCCGCGGTGATCTAGATGCCTTTCCCTGGCTCAGTTGGAAATGCCTGGCCCACCCTTGCTGCACACCCCACTGGAAGCGCCACGCCCGGTTCCGTGGCCCCTTCTCTACCCCCTTTTTCTCACCACCCAGTCACCGATCACGTGTTTACCGAGTTACCCCCCCCCACACACACCTGGAATTCTGCCTTGCACGCACTGTGAAACCCGGTGCTGGGAGGGAAACCGAGGCTGGGAGGCCCCCGCCCTCCGGCTGCCCAGGAGGCCTCAGTGCAGGGTCCGGGCGCCCCGAGTCCTCGCCCACGCCCCGCAAACCCGGTGCCCACGCCCCAGTGTCCTCAGGGCGCGGGGTTGCCGCGACCCCCCCGTGGGCGTGGCCAGGGGCGTGGCCAGCGCTGCCGTCCCTCTCGCGCCCACAGCCTAGTAGTGGCGCGAATGGTGGGCCCGGAGTCAGCTCACCCCCTCGGCCAATCGCACGGCGCGGCGCACGGAGCCCGCCTCCGATTGGCCGTATACGCCACACGTCACTGCGGTTTGGGGGCGGAGCTCCGTTGCCGGGCTGGTTTTAGGCCCGGAGCGCGAGTCTTCCTACGCAGAGGAGGTTCGCTGCTGAGGAGGACGGGTCTGCAGGTCAGGGGACGTGTGCAGATGGGGAAGCGTCTGTGCAGATGTGGGGGATGTATGTGCACGTGGGCAGTGTGTGTGTGCACATGGGGGTGATGCGCGTGCAGATGGGGCCGTGTGCACATGGGGCAGGGTGTGTGCAGATTGGAGGGCAAGTGTACAGGAGAGGGAGATGGGGCACTGTGCAGATGTGGGTGATGTAAGTGCAGATGTGGGGTGGTGGGCGTGCAGATGGGGCCATGTGTGTGCAGATTCGGGGGACGAATGTACGGGAGGGGAACGTGTGCAGACTGAGGGGAGTGTGTGTGTGCGCAGGGGAAGGGGCTGTGGGGGGAGATGTGTGCTTAGGAGAGGGCACCTGTGGACTGGGTTGAGGGGTTGCTTGCTCGGATGGCCGATGCACCTGGGAGCAGGTACCGAGGAGGACCTCAGCCTAGCTTGGGCCTGTGGTGGGAGACCGAGGGAGCCATCCCAGTGGGATGGGATCTGCGGGTGCTCAGATGAGCAGGGGCAGGTGTATCCACGACCCTTGGCTCACTCTGTTACCCCAGGGCACACACAACCTGGTGAATCGCTTTTCATTAGAATTTGGGGTCGGTCTACTTATTCTCCCAGGAGATCGTGGATTGGCCAACTAGAGTGAGTCCTGGGAAGCTCAAGGCACAGGGAGGGAGATGGGGTGGTGTGGTCTCAAGGCTGTGGAGAAGCCAGCCCCCTCAAAACCAGCGTGGCTTTCAGAGTGAGAGGTGAAACAACCAGACCGCATTGATTCTTGGATACAGTCGTCTGAGAAACTGTTGCTTAAAACCAAAACCAGCGTGGCAGACAGAAATAGGTGGGTTTGGAACACTGGGAAGAGGTGTTCTGGGTGGGACCAGGTGGAGCCCAGTTGCCAAAGAATTTGGTAAAAACCAGGTTTGGGAAAGGACAGTGGATGTGTGTAGGCAATTATCTATGGAGCAGTCTGGAGAGAATCATGATGCCAGGGGCTGGATTAGAGAGAGGAGAAGGATTTTATTTCCCCACATGTGATATGTTTTAGAACTTCTGAAGAGCAGAAATCCCCATAGCTTTGGTTAAAACCTGAGAACCAAGAATTGGGGGTCTCAGGCCACTCCCTTCCATGTAGGGTTTATGCTTTCCAAATAAGCCAGCACTGCCCCCCTGCCCCAACCCTCAGGGTCAGACCAGAGTTCCATGCACAGAGTGTAAGATGGCCTTGTACTCTGGGCCTCCCTGCACTTAGAGAAGGGAGCTTTGCAAACACATGGTGGTCATTTGTCTTAGGGAGGAGTGCAGATATACAAGCTCCAGATGAACCCAAGGATCACCCCATAAGCTAGCCTCACGATACCTTGAGGGTGGGGGGCACAAATGAATTCACTGAGGCCTGTGGGGCCAAGTGTATTGTTTAATAATACAAAAGAAGGGAACGAAAACCCATATTTCTAACACTGTCGGAGTGGAGCTTGCTAACTAGTCTTTTAAGCAGTTAGGGCTGGGCCCTGCTGTAGAGGGCAGGGCTGTCACTGTGGGGTTCCAAAGCTTTTGATTTCTTTGTGGATTGCCATTTGGTGTCTCATGATTTTACGTGTATAGAGGGTGTTACGGGAAGTTGGACATTTGCCTGTTGACCTGGTCCACTTGAGTATTTTTCCCAGGATGGACTCCCACTGGCACACACAGGATCTATGTGAGGGTCTCTGTAAGGGGCTTCCCATTCCCAGAATGTCCTACTGTCTCATCTTAAATTTCAGTACCATGCCTGAGACTAACAATCTCCAAATTGGATGCCCTAACTGCTTCTGGAATGTTGCAACTACATCCTGTGTGGAAGGTCCTTAGAACTCAGTACTCAGAGTTAATGGTCATCTTACTCCACAGCCTCCTGGTGTGTCACCAAAGTGGAGCTCCAGACCCAGTCCTGTCTCCATAGGCCTCAGTCTTCTCAGCAGTCAAGAGGCTGCCCTGCCCCACTTTCCTCTCCCCATTGTCCTTGTCTGTAAAATGGGTGGGTGGAACAGTGCTCACTCTTCAGGTGGGCTAGGCACCTGGCAGGTTCTGAATAAACAGTTGCTGTTGGTGACAAGTAGCATCATCCAGTGCTGGCACCCTCAGTAGCCGGTGTCCTAATACCTTGCAACTTCCCCAGTCAGGGCGTGGAGGCCGATTCCCTTCCGATGAGTGACAGTGGCTGTGGCCTCTGGGACCTGGTGGTATCTTAAACCCTCCAAGGCCAAGTCTGACTTAGGCCTTGTGTGTGGAAACAGTGTTCACTGTTCTCAGTAAACACTTACTGCCTTGAGGTGTCTGCTGATTGGGCGGCTGCTTCTGCCTGTTTCACTAAATGAGCCTTTGCCCACCCCCTGGTGCTATGGTCACGTGAGGGTGAGGCCTTGAGCCCTTGGTGTCAAGGTCTTCCGTGCTCTGGACTCTGAGAATGAAGGAGCTGAGGCAGCGTCAACAGTAGCTTCGGGTCACACTGAATTTTTGGTCCCATCATTAGGGCCATGTCAGCAGCGGGAGTGGGCCTACCCCAAACCTGCAGCTTCTGATGGACCATTGGGCCACATCTGCCTTACTGGAGTGCTGGGTGCCTCCTAGGTGCCAGGTCACTAAACCCTCAAGATTCCAAACGCTGCTGCTGTGGGCTGAGTTCCTTGGGCTCTCTTGGGGGCAGAGTCTCATTAGCTGTGTCTTATGGGACTTCCTAGGTCAGTCCAGGGGTCCAGGTGGGCTGCCCGTGCTTTCTGTCTGTTCCTTGGCTCAAGTGTGTGGTAAGCGAATTCTAGTTTTGAGTTCCAGGCAGAAGGGGATGTGGGATAAGAGGTCTTACTCAGCTTTGAGCTAAGTCAGCAAGAGGTAGGAAGGCTGGGGGTCTAGCTTAGTTGGTAGGGTAATTGCCTCCCATCCATGAACCCCTGAATTTGATCCCTTAAAAAAGGAGGGTGAAATGATGGCTCAGTGGGTAAAAGTGCTTTTTGTGAGGCTTGACCACTTGAATTGGATTCCTGGGACCCACACGGTGGAAGGAGAGAACCAGCTCCTGCAGGCTGTCCTCTGACCCCCATGCACATGCCCCCTCTAATCAACCAACCAGTCAATGAATGAATGAAATAATTTAAGCATGCAGGAGGAAGTGGGAAGGGTTGGTGTGGGTGATGCAGAAGCAGAGTTTCTGAGGCATCACGGGCAGGCAAGACTGCTGGGTTTTACTGTGACTGGAACCTCACCAGGAGTGACCAAGTGGAGCATCACGGTGCCGAAACTGAGGAGAGCTAGACAGGATCGGGTCTCAAAGGGGCCCACGTCTCAGGATAGCCCCAGGAACCTCTCGTAGCAGTGTAGTCTGGGACCAGAGGTGAAGTGGATTTTCGGTGAATTGAAAGGAAGTTTCTCAAAGGAAAGAGAAGACTGTTATGTAAGATTGCCTGGAAAGGAAACTCAGGAGGAGAGAGATGGCTTTTTTCAGGATCCATTGACATTCAGGGATGTGTCCATAGACTTCTCTCAGGAAGAGTGGGAATGCCTAGACTCTGCTCAGAGGGCTTCGTACAAGGAGGTGATGTTGGAGTACTACAGCAGTCTGGTGTCTGTAGGTCTTGCTGTGTGTCAGCCTGTTCTGGTCTCCTGTCTGGAGCAAAGCAAAGAGCCCTGGAATGTGAAGAGAGGGGAGGCTGTAGCCAAGCAGAACTCAACTCTTAGATGACATCAGACAAGGAATAATGCATAGAAACCCTACAAATGTGAAGAATGTGATAAGTCTTTTAGTCAAATGTTGAGTCTTAGAATACATCAGGCAATGCATGCTGGAGAGAAACCCTACACATGTGAAGAATGTGGCAAGTCCTTTACCCAGGCCTCACATCTTAAAAGGCATAAAAATATACTGGACAGAAACCCTACAGATATGAAGAATGTGGCAAGTCCTTTAGTCAGATGTCATATATTAGACAACATCAGTGAATTCATACTATAGAAAATGCCTACAGATGTGAAGAATGTGACAAGGCTTTTGCTCATACGTCAACATTTTGGTCACATCAGCGAATACATCTGGAGAGAGACCCTACAAATATAAAGAATGTGCCAAGTCCTTTAATCAAGGAATGTGAACCAGGTAGTAAATGGCACAAATTCAGCACTAAGGTTCAGTCATCACCCAGAAGTCATTATCTGAGTTATAAAATGTTGTAAACTGTTTTATAACCTACACATTCCATTTCTTTCTGAACTGTGTAGTCTTGATCCTGCCTGGCTTTGATAAGAAAAAGGTAGCTCTTTATTGCTACAGGGACAATAAACTATACATGAGTCGGAGACCGACAAGGGTCATCCTTCTTTCCTGGCACCTGAACAAGTGAACAGTTACTATGGAAATTGCTTTGGCACCTTAACCCTAAATCCCATCTCAAACCTTCTTACTTGAATATTGTAGTTTCACATGATTGTTTTGATACCACAACTCCTCTATATGTTGTATATATGTGATCTATAATAGTAAAATTCCTTCATTCAGAAATAATAAAAAAAAAATGGGTGTGCGGCATACACCTGTCATCTCAGTACTTAGGTATGATGAAGGTGGGAGGACCAGGAAAACTTATTCTTGTTGACATAGCAAGTTTGAGGCCAGTCTGGGCTGCATGAGGCTCAACTCAAGAAAGGGAGAAAGGAAAAGATAGGAACCTGCCCACCTCCCCTCTGTGTGCTGGGGGCCACCCATCAAGGCCACAGGCTTTTGGAACCAACCAGCCACGTAGAAGCATGTTCCTTTGCAGACTAAGGTTTCACCTCAGGCATCGTACCCACACTGTCCCTTGCCTCATCTACAGCCATGTAGTTTCCATGTAAGCAATTTCTCTGCCCTCTTCCTATAATTTCATTATCCTGTCTTCTTGAGTCTGGTGGGTGTTTTCCTGCTTGCTGTGTAGCTGTGTATGCTGGTGGCTTCACGCGTCCCAGAACTGGTCCCTCACCTTCAGGTCTGTCTAGCTCAGGAAAGCCTTGGTTCCATAGACCTCTGAGTCCAGTGGATTAATTTACTATGGGGTACCGATCTCCTTTAGATTTTTTTTTTTCTTTCAGTCTTTGTGAGACAGGGTCTCCCTCTAGCCCCAGCTGTCCTGGAACTCACTGTGTAGACCAGGCTGGCCTTGAACTCACAGAGATCCGCCTGGAGCCCTGAGCTGGCCCTGATTCCAGCAGTGACCTTGACTCCTGTGGTTAGGCTTTTCCACCTGTTGTCAGTTCCCTGGTGACTTTGGTGCCTTTGTGGCCTCTGCAGGGTGGTGTTCCACTTGTGGACAGGGCCAACCTGACTCAGCTACCTCCCGAGTCCACATCCCGAGCCCTGAGCTGGCCCTGATTCCAGCAGTGACCTTGACTCCTGTGGTTAGGCTTTTCCACCTGTTGTCAGTTCCCTGGTGACTTTGGTGCCTTTGTGGCCTCTGCAGGGTGGTGTTCCACTTGTGGACAGGGCCAACCTGACTCAGCTACCTCCCGAGTCCACATCCCGAGCCCTGAGCTGGCCCTGATTCCAGCAGTGACCTTGACTCCTGTGGTTAGGCTTTTCCACCTGTTGTCAGTTCCCTGGTGACTTTGGTGCCTTTGTGGCCTCTGCAGGGTGGTGTTCCACTTGTGGACAGGGCCAACCTGACTCAGCTACCTCCCGAGTCCACATCCCGAGCCCTGAGCTGGCCCTGATTCCAGCAGTGACCTTGACTCCTGTGGTTAGGCTTTTCCACCTGTTGTCAGTTCCCTGGTGACTTTGGTGCCTTTGTGGCCTCTGCAGGGTGGTGTTCCACTTGTGGACAGGGCCAACCTGACTCAGCTACCTCCCGAGTCCACATCCCGAGCCCTGAGCTGGCCCTGATTCCAGCAGTGACCTTGACTCCTGTGGTTAGGCTTTTCCACCTGTTGTCAGTTCCCTGGTGACTTTGGTGTCTTTGTGGCCTCTGCAGGGTGGTGTTCTGCTTGTGGACAGGGATCCAGCAGGCCTTTTGGGGACTCCGAGCCTGGACATTTTCAAGAGCCAGTTCTAAGCAGGAAAACTTCATTCTGCTTTGAAACCACTGCCCAAAGGTCAAAGGTGAGTATTGCTCACAGCACCCTTGAGTGAGGCCACAGGCAGTGACTCTGCTGCTTTTCAAAACTAAGAGCAAGTCAGGGCCCTGGCCACGTGTCGGCTGCTCTGTGAGTCTGAGAAGCTACGCAGAGCCCGGCCTTCCCTCAGCCCAGATGCCTGGTGCAAGGCTCTGACTTAGGTGTTTTCCCAGAATTCGGTGTCCGACAGAAGGAGGACTGGATGTATGACTTCCAAATAAAGTTAAGGTAGTGATAATTTTTTTTCAGTCTTATGTAGCCTAGGCTGGCCTTGAACTCCTGATCCTCCTGCCTCCACCTCCAAAGTGCACCACCGTGTCCCGTTTACACTGCACAATCCTGGGCTTTGTGCATGCTAAGCAAGCCCTCTTCCAGCTGAGCTGCGGCCCCAGCCACACTTGTTATTATTTTTTTTTTAATGGATTTTTTTTTTTTTTTTTTGTCTTTTTGAGACAGGGTCTCTCTGTAGCTCCAGCTGGCCTGGAACTCTCTATGTAGACCAGGCTGGCCTCAAACTCACAATGATCCTCCTGCCTCTGCCTCCCAAGTGCTGGGATTAGAGGCATGCGCCACCATGCCCTGCTTTAAACAGATTTTTAAAAAATATTTTATTATTATTTTTATTTTATGTGTATGCATGTATTGCCTGCATGTATGTAAGTGCACCCGTGTCATGCAGTGCCTACAGAGGACAGAAGAGGCTGTCAGATCCCCTTGAACTGGAGTTATGGACAGTTGTTAGCTGCCATGTGGGTGATGTGTGTGTGCTGGGAATCGAACCCGGGTCTTCTGCAAGAACAGTCAGTGTTCTTAACTGCTGAGCCATCTCTCCAGCCCCTTGTTATTATTTTTATATCATTTTATTTATTTATTTGCCATGGCATAGCAGTGGAGGTCAGAGGACAACTTTCAAGAATTCCTCCTCCATGTGGGTCCTGAGGATTGAACTCAGGTTGTCCACCTTAGCAGCAAGCACCTTCACCCACAGAGCCGTGCTGCCCTTGTCTCTTCTTGATCTCTAGAAGGTACATGTTCTCACCAGGCACAGTGGCTTACAGCTATAATCCTGGCAATTGCGGGGCTGAGGCAAGATTGCTGTGAGTTCCAGGCCAGCCTAGGCCAGGGGATGAGACCCTGTCTCCAAAAGGAAAAATATGCATGTACTCTTAGCAGTCCCAGGGCTTGGCTCCGAGCTTCCCTACTCACTGGCTTTTGCAATCATCTGGCTTGTTAGATTATCAGAAGGTAATGTTGGTGCTGAGCTCTATCTCCTTGGAGCTTATCTGTGAGTCAGCTTCCCATAAGCAGGTGGGCATGCGGCTTCCAGCTTCCTGTGGTTAATGTGAGGACTCAAGATGGACAAGAGAGGTGAAGGCTGGTAAATTTTACTGGAGTGAAGACTTCTCAGAAGCAGGTCTCTTTCCTTTTTCTCCTTTCCCTCTGTTCGTGTGTGGGATGTGTGTGCATACATGTGTGTGGCAGATGCATGTATGTGCATTCATGTGGAGACCTGAGGTTTATGTCAGGAGTCTTCCTCATTTGTTCTCTGTCTCCTTCTGGGAGGCAGGGTTGCTCAGTCAGACCCTGAGCTCTGATACAGCTGGAGTCACTAGCTAGCTTGCTCTGGGGATCACGTCTTCATCTTGCTGGATTGGAATAGCCAGCTGGCCACTGTCCCCATTTACATGGGTTCTGGGGTCCAAATGCTGGTCCTCTTCCTTGGGCAATAAGTTCTTCAACCTCTGAGCCGACCCCATGGCCTGAGGCAGCTGGTTATTTGGGGGGGTGACTCTATAAACTTGGGACCCCCAGAGCCAGGCTTTGGGTGTGGTGTGTTGGAGTTGCACAGAGTGGCCTGGCCCACTGAAAGCATGCCATGCTTCCAGCCTTCACGGTGCAGTCACAGCATAAGCCTTCCAGTGGGTTGAACAGTTGCAGGTGAACTTCTTGGGTCTCCTAACAAAATGCCTTTTACCATTAAAATAATCAGGATGTCCACTTTTATTTTTATCTTATGTGTATGAGTGTATTGCCTGCATGTATGTAAGTGCACCTGTGCATGTAATACCCACAGAGGCCAGAAGAGGGTGTTGGATCCCCTGGAACTGGAGTTATGAATGGTTGTTAGCTGCCATATGGGTGCTGGGAACCAGACCCAGGTCCTCTGCAAGAGCAGCCAGTGCTCTTAACTGCTGAGCCATCTCTTCAGCCCCGCATTTTTTTAACTTTTTGGTCTTTTTTTTTTTGAGACAGGTCTCCCTGTAGCCTCCAGCTACTCACTATGTAGATCAGGCTGACCTTGAACTCACAGAGATCCACCTGCCTGTGCCTCCCAAGTGCTGGGACTAAAGGCGTGCACCACCACGCCTGGCTTTCTTATTTCTTTTTTAAAAAATAAATGACTCCTAGGGACTACGAGTTGGCTCAGTGGGTAAGATCGCCAAGTTCGATGGATCCTTGGATGTGGTGGAAAAACTGGGAATGGCCGTGTGGGCTTGTAGCCTCAATGCTGGGGGAGGAGACAGGCAGATCCAGGAGCTCAGTGGCCTGACAGCCTGAGAGCTGGAGCTTTGGGTTCAAAGAGAGACCTGGTCTTAAAAACTAAGGCAGAGAGTGATCAGATGGAACACCCAGCGTCCTCCTCTGGCCTCTGCACATGCACTCTTGTGTGCACACATGCACATGTGCACCTGCTGCACTCACACACACACCCAGCCCTCACCCCATCTGGCACCACCTTGTTGCTCTCTCCTCTGCGGACTTCTCATCCTCTTAGCCGGCTTGTGTTTATTGTCTGGACCTGCTTATCGCTGAAAAGTTTGCTTTGACCATTCCCAAGTCTGTGTTTGGTCTACACTTCCAGTTGTGTGGTTTCTGAGCCAGGTCATGTGCTGCCTTAGAGCACTTTCTGTTGCTATCACAGAATACCACAGATGGAGTAATTTATAAAGAATGAAGGTTTGGGCTGGGGAGGTGCTCAGTCAGTAAGGTGCCTGCTTTACAAGCATGAAGTCCTGGATCCCCAGCACCAGTGTGAGAGCTAGGTGTACAGGTGGGGGTACAGTGAGTCCTGGAGTTCGAGGTCAGCCAGTTTAGCCAAAACAGTGAGTGCCAAGTTCAGTGAGAAATGCTATCTCAGAAAATAAAGTGGAGAAGTGGTTGAGAGAAACATTCCAGCGTCAGCCTCTGGCCTCCATGTGCATCTGCACACATGTCCACTCATGGCCAGGACTTTACTGACTGAGTAATCTCCCAGACCCTCTGCTTGCTTTTCAGATACCTTTTAAAAATCCCTGATGTAGGGCTGGAGAGGTGGCTCACGGTTAAGAGCACTGGCTCTTGCAGAGGACCTGGGTTTGGTTCCCAGCGCCCACATGGTGGCTAACAATTGTTTGTAACTGCAGTTCCAGGGGATTTGATGCCCTCTTCTGACCTCCTTGGGCACTGCATGACATGGTTGCACTTACATGCATGCAGGCAATACACTTATACACGTAAAATAAAAGTAATACATCAAATATTTTTTAAAAATTCCCTGATGCTTTAAAGTTTCACAAGCTGAACTTGTTTGGACATGGAAGGCCTCACTGCTCCTCAGTCTAATGGCCAAGAGCAGCCATGCGTACCCAGAGTGTTATCTGCTGAGTTCCTGGAGGTCCTGGTCCAGGCCCTGTGATGGAGGGATGAACTCTAAGTAGAGACACTTGGAACTTAAAGTTCCACCTTGGGAGGGGCCACTTAGTGGTGGCTGGCAGGGGACAGTCTGCTGAAGAGGGGATCTTTTACAGGTGCTGTGAGGGAAGCCAACCATGTTCAAGGATTCTTGCAGATCCCTGGGGTGTGGAGGAGCAGGGGTGGGGCAGGCTCCATGTGGAAAGACGCCTGCCACAGTGTGGGGAGCCCAGGTGGGCAGGGAGCACAGGCCTGAAAGTGAGCCTGAGGCTCCGTCTCTTCCCTCCAGGGATGTGCTAAGAAGAGGGGTGGGGGGCACAACAGGGACAGTGTGTCAAGAAGGGGAGTAGGGGGCACAACAGGGATATAGTGTGTCTGATCTTCTGGAAGACACAGAGCCCTGTCTTTCCTTCCTCAGGACTGATGGCTGTGAAATCCCAGCTCAATGCTCCTAAGACCAAGAACCCCGACACCGGCAGCCACAGCAAGGCTGAATCTCAAGGCCAATGGGGCCGGGCCTGGTAAGTAGCTCACCCTTCCTCCTAGCTAGAAAGAGAAGTGGGGTCTCAGAGCATTTCAATCTTGGGAAGTTACGGACCTAGAGAGAGTTATTTTGTATTGTTAAGATGGATAGAAGGTTAGCAGTTTTCCATTTTGCAAAATAAAGAATTGAGAAGAAGAATCTAGGAGGCATTTCGGGTGGACTTTCCCTTATCTGAAATGCTTGTGGCCAGAGGGAGTTCACATTTCTGACTCTGTATATTGAGACATTTGCATGTGGATTGTGAGATATCATGGGGAAGGAACCCTGAGTTTGAGAGCAGAATTCTGCATGTTTGACAAACAGCCCACACAGGGCCTGAAGGAAACTTGACTCAGTGTTTTCAGTATACCTGTGTCTTATGTGCAACTTGTCACCTGAGATCAGTTGTGGGATTTTCCACTGCAGTATCATTCCAGGACTGTGAAAGTTTCAGGCGACCTGAGGGTCGATCTGGAACCCTGTCACTGTCCCAGGAGTCCTGAGTCCCAGTCGTGGGCCTTGTTCTGTCATGGAGCAGCAGTGCTTTGTGTGTCAAGTGTCCTCCCTGGCTGGGGACTGGGGAAGCTACCGGCCCTGAGGGTCATGAGGAGCACTGCATTCATATCCTGGGCTCCGGCCTTTCCGTGGGCGGCCACAGATATGATCACACAGGATCAGCATGGGTGGGTGGAGGGCTTTTCACTGAGCCTTTCTCCCATCTGCTGATTGGAGTGAAGACGGGTCCCACACATGAGGGCATCCCAGAGCCCCCTGTGGGCTGGAGGGTCAGGAGGCCTGCAGTGACGCCCACTGTCTCTTGCAGGGAGGTGGACTGGTTCTCCCTGGCCTCTGTCATTTTCCTGTTGCTCTTCGCACCCTTCATCGTCTATTACTTCATCATGGCGTGTGACCAGTACAGCTGCTCGCTGACCGCCCCCTTGGTGGACATCGCCACTGGCCGTGCCAGTCTCGCACACATCTGGGCCAAGACGCCCCCAGTGACGGCTAAAGCTGCCCAGCTCTATGCCTTGTGGGTTGGCTTCCAGGTCAGCCCCTGCCGGGGGTCCTGTGTCAGTGGGTGGGGAGCAAGCCCTCCTGCCACCAGGGTCCCTTCTTTGACCTGGGATGCAGGGTCCTGACGCAGATGATGCTTGGGTTTGCAGGATGCAGGTACACACAACAGGAAGCCTCTGTGTCCCACAAAGTTTCAGCACCTCACAGCTGGGGAAATGGTCTTCCAGGCACAGTGAACAAGGTTGAATGGGAGGATGTGGCCTGGCCCAAGGAAGCCCCACACAGTTGGAACCCTTTTCACATGTGCCCTTGGGAAGGTGCACCCTAAACTCCTAGAACTCTCTGGTATAGAGAACACTGCTCTGCAAAGATGAAGGGTGTTTCCACAGGCTATCACCCTGATCAAGGATATCCTCATCCCTGTCATAACATGAGGAAGGAACAGCTTTCACAGCAGGACTGGTTGACAGTGCATGTTGCCCTGAGTCCACACCCAGGGCAGGGTTACTAGGGACCCATATGGGAAGCAGGTCAGCTTGCTTTTCCCAGGGGGAACTTTACATTGAGACTCACTGTTTCTCCCAGGGTCCAAACTTTGGCGCTTCAGAATCCCTCTATTTTCAGGTCCCCTGGCCTTTTGAGTGAGAAGGGGCATCACATACCCTGGTAGCCAAAAATCTACCAACCCAGTTGTCTGTCAGTTTAGGACTGGAGAATCAGCGTGTGATCTATCCATCAGTCAAATACTACCAAAACCAGGCAGAGTGGAGCGCGCCTTTAATCCCGGCACTCGGGTAGCAGAGGAAGGCAGATCTCTGTGAGATCAAGGCCAGTCTGGTCCACATAGTGAGTTCCTGGACAGCTGGGGCTACAGGGAGACCTTGTCTCAAAACCAAACCAAGCAAAAAGAATGCTCTCAGGCCATGAAAAGGAGTGGGCACTGACACCAGCGGCTTTGTGGGTAAATGTTAGGGTTAACTGGAGAGGAGGAAGCCCAGGACCACATTCCATCATGTGACAGGTCTGGAAAAGCCACATTCACAAGGACAGAAAGATCAGTGGTTGCCGTTGGCTGGGGGTGAGAGTCAGGGGAGCTGTGGGGAACAGCTGCCAGTGGGAAGGTTTTGTAGTGATGGAAGAGTTCTGGGATTTGGCTGTGGTGATGGTTGACTGGCTTTGTGGATGCAGTACATTCTGCAGAATCGTCACACTGACGTGGCGGGCTTTCCGGAGTGTAGATTTCATTCTAATGTTTTTAAACGGCCTCCAAGCGGCGAGTAGGGAAGGATCTATGTGTTCTACCTGGGGATTCCAAGGCCACGGCCTGGAGGACGCATGCTTTCTCATGTTCAGTGGCTAACTTGCCAAGCCCCTAGGAGCTCTGAACTTCTGGACTGTACCAATGTTTTACATTTGTATTTGTCCAGTAACAAAAGGCCAGGTGGAAGCATGCAACCATCCTGGCAGGCTGCCGGTCATCCAGCCTAAAATTCCATTTCAGGTGCTGCTATACACCTGGCTCCCTGACTTCTGCCACAGATTTCTGCCAGGCTACATGGGAGGGGTTCAAGAAGGGGCCGTGACCCCAGCGGGTAAGCTTACCCCAGCCCAAGCTGTACTCTCAAGCTAAGTAAGCACTCTCTGTGCCTAAGTAGGTACTCTCTGTGCCCTTGGCTCCTGGAGCTGCCCTCCTACACTGCATCCCAGGTAAAAAGTTTAGCTTGGACATCGTCCACAGGACTGGGCCTCAAGGTTCTTGAGTGTAGTCCCACTATCCTGGATGTGGCAAGCTACTGTCATCACTTGGGAAGGAACGGCTTGACCCTCCTGTCTCCCCAGCCCCACTGCTCTGTGGGTCATCCCTGAGAACCTCAAGGAGCCCAACTTCATGCTGCTCACCAGGGGTATGGGTTAGAATCCCACTCATCTCTTCCAGCAAAGAGTTTCTCTCAGTGAGGAGCCTGGGGCACCACAGGGCATCCTCTTCTCCTACTACTTGGTTGGCCTTGCTAACACTGTAGACCCATCCCTCAGGTTGAGCTGGTTAAACAGGGAGCAAAGCACGTAACAGAGCCACCCCCTTTCCCCCTTTCCCTTCCAGGTCTTGGCAGCAACAGTGGCTCTCAGCCTCTGGTTGAAAGGTGTGCCACTGGCCTGTAAGCTGTGGTGTGTATGAGCAGATGCCGCCCCTTCTGGGATGGCACTTGGGGACCCCAGTTAGGAGTCTGTAGCCACAGAGGCCAGGGAGCAAGTAGGGCTCCGAGACAGGGCACATCCAGGTCGGGTGACCTGACAAGGGCATCAGGAACATGCTGTGTGAATCTTCCCTGCGCAGGAATTGTGAACAAGTACCAGGTGAACGGGCTGCAAGCCTGGCTCATCACTCACGTCCTCTGGTTTGCGAACGCTCACTTCCTGTCCTGGTTCTCCCCCACCATCATCTTTGACAACTGGATCCCGCTGCTGTGGTGCGCCAACATTCTTGGCTATGCCGTGTCGACATTCGCCATGATCAAGGGCTACCTGTTTCCCACCAACGCTGAAGACTGGTATGTTCCTTAGTGGCTCTGCTCTGTGTCATCCCTGAGAACCTCAAGGAGCCCAACTTCATGCTGCTCACCAGGGGTATGGGTTAGAATCCCACTCATCTCTTCCAGAGCAGAGTTTCTCTCAGTGAGGAGCCTGGGGCACCACAGGGCATCCTCTTCTCCTACTACTTGGTTGGCCTTGCTAACACTGTAGACCCATCCCTCAGGTTGAGCTGGTTAAACAGGGTGTGAAGCACCTAACAGAGCCACCCCCTTTCCCCCTTTCCCTTCCAGGTCTTGGCAGCAACAGTGGCTCTCAGCCTCTGGTTGAAAGGTGTGCCACTGGCCTGTAAGCTGTGGTGTGTATGAGCAGATGCCGCCCCTTCTGGGATGGCACTTGGGGACCCCAGTTAGGAGTCTGTAGCCACAGAGGCCAGGGAGCAAGTAGGGCTCCGAGACAGGGCACATCCAGGTCGGGTGACCTGACAAGGGCATCAGGAACATGCTGTGTGAATCTTCCCTGCGCAGGAATTGTGAACAAGTACCAGGTGAACGGGCTGCAAGCCTGGCTCATCACTCACGTCCTCTGGTTTGCGAACGCTCACTTCCTGTCCTGGTTCTCCCCCACCATCATCTTTGACAACTGGATCCCGCTGCTGTGGTGCGCCAACATTCTTGGCTATGCCGTGTCGACATTCGCCATGATCAAGGGCTACCTGTTTCCCACCAACGCTGAAGACTGGTATGTTCCTTAGTGGCTGGTTGAGCCTAAAGTGGAAGGTGGATGCCTCCACCCAGGCCACCCAGGGCTGTCTGCTGCCTGCACGGGAGGCTGTGAAGCCCTGAGGAGTGAGACTCCTGGAGGGAACATACATACATATGTCCATTTGTCCATCCATTCATACAAACATACATACACACATTTGTCCATCCATCCATCTATACATACATTCGTCCGTACATACATACATATGTCCATTCATCCATCCACCCATCCATTCATTTGTACATAACATATGTCCATTGGTCCATCCATCCTCGCATACATCTATCCATCTGCTCATCCACCTGTCCACCCACACCACCATCTTCCTACCAGCCACCTATTCATCCACTCATCCATCTACGTACCCACACAGCCACCCCCTACCAACCATCCATCAGCCACTGATCTGCCTCTGAATACAACCCACCCACCCATGAGTCTGCCCACACATCCATCCACTCACCCATCTGTCTACCACAGACCCTTTATCCACCCATCTATCCACCCACCCATTAATGTTTGGTGGGTTCTTACGGGGTTCCTTAATGTTGGGACTCTAAGGAAAACATTCCCCTTAACTGTTGGCCTAGGCTTTTGGGAAACAGCCTGAGATGGAGATTCTTTGTGGCTTGTGTTACCGAGTACTAAGGAAACTTTGTTGCTCGTGGAACCCTGTCCTGCACATTACTGCCCCAGCAGCCTTCAGAGCCATCTGCTGGCTAATCGCACCTGCTGTTGTAGATGTTCTGTTTCAGTTCTTTCCACTTAGCCTGTGAGGACTGAATGCAGGAACCTGCAGCTCCAAGATCATGTGTGCAGTAGGCCATACCGTGTGTGCAGTAGGCCGTACCTAGCAAGGGTCTCCACGCAGGCTATCTGGGCTGATTCTCTGCTTCCGTTTGGCGTGTAGCACTGCTCTGGGGCCAGGTGACCAAGACTTGTTGGAGAGAGAGGGGCCTGGAGCTCAGGCTGTGAGCACAATGCCCTGTCCTATGACTTAGTGTCATCACTTGCTGCTGAATGTGTGCGCTCCTGTGTGCTGTTGTCTCTGTTGACACAGCTTACTTGGAGTGAGTGTGTGTGGGGCCATGGGCAGGGCTGGTGTGCCTCCACCGTGGGGACCTTTGCTGCCACAGCCAGCTGCACCCGGCTGCCTCCTTCACCTGCTAGTGCTCAAGCACCGAGTCACAAAGATGTGGAAAGCTGTGTGTGGTGGGACAGGCTGCCAGTTGATTAAATGTGTCTTTTGTTTATATTTTAAAGCAAATTCACAGGCAATTTCTTCTACAACTACATGATGGGCATCGAGTTTAACCCCAGGATTGGAAAGTGGTTTGACTTCAAGCTGTTCTTCAACGGACGCCCGGGAATCGTTGCCTGGACCCTCATCAATCTGTCCTTTGCTGCCAAGCAGCGGCAGCTTTACGGCCACGTGACCAACTCCATGGTTTTGGTCAATGTCCTGCAAGTAGGTAATTTACATGTATCTACAGCCAGGGTGAGCTCTGGGAAAACGCCAAAGCTGGAGCCCTCCCAGTGTGCTGTCCTCTGTTCACAGTCTGCCCTTCCAGGTCTCACTGTGAACACATGCTAAGAATCTTCCAGTACAGGTGCACCACTCTGCCAGTCCCCAGGAGGGGACAAGGCAGATGCCTTGCAGCCTGGCCTGGTCTAGGGAAGGCTTCCCTGGGGATTGTGCTCAGATGGGATCTGAGGGTACGTGGGCTTTTGTTAACCAGCTAGAGAAGAGACAGGGTGCTCCAGGCACGGGGAGCAGGCTGTGCAGTCCCCATAGTGGGAGAGGTTGGGACACTGAGGATGGTCCTGTGACCTGAGTGGAGAGAACTGGAGAGCTCGTGGCCAGGTGGTGCTAGAGACTAACAGGTCTTTTGGAAGTTTTCATCCTTAAGTAAAAGGCATTTAGCCCTCTTGGGAGACTGAGGCAGGAGGATTGCTAGGAGTTCAAAGCTTAGCATGGACTGCATAGTGAATTCCAGGGCAGCCTGGGTTATGGAATGAGATCTGGTCTCAAAAACAGCACCAATGGCTAGTGTCTAAGGTGCTTCCACAAAAGTGTGGGGACAGGAGCTTGGATCCCAGGAACCCTGTGTGTGTCATGGTGCTGAGGGGTAGTGGATGGGCGTGGTGGCCCACGTGTAATTCCAACCTCGGAAGGCAGACACGGGATCATCTCCAGAGCAAGCTGGTTCATGAGACCAGCCTTACCAGCAAGCTCTGGGTTTGATTGAGAGAGCCTGCCTCAATGAATAAGGTGGAAGAGGAGTGGAGGATGAGCCTGGCACCAACCTTGGCCTTCACATGCACATGTACCTGTGTGCACC